GGCCTGCTGCGGTGGGGGGGGGAGGCTGCCATGAGGCCTTTGCCTCCGGCACCGGGAAGGAGGGAGGCAGAAGCATATCATAGAGATGATATCATATATCACATCATAGAATATGCCCAGACAGAAGAAGCCCAGGTTGTCCACGACACACCTCTCTGTCGTGACGCTGCATTTTCCAGATGCTCAGAAAAACAAGCGTTGCTATTTGAACTCCCTGGCTTGCTTCCTGTCTAAAGAACGGGTTTGATTACCACTATATCAGTCTAGCTGCACAAAAGTTGGGTGGCTTTTTTTTTCCCCTAATGTTTATTTTTAATAAATCTATTGTGAACCTGAACGCGAGGCGCTTTCTGAGGTGGCGTTGCTTGTGTTGAATGCTGGGTTGCAGGCTGAGCCCAGATCTGCTACACAACGTGCAGAAACGACAGGGGTTTATTCTTCCCCGCAGCTGTGATGAGCCCGGGTTTCTTGCGCGTTTGCTCGAGGGACGACATGGTTCTGGTGTACGCGTGCTAGCAACAGAAAACAAAAAAAGGATCAATAACATGAGTTCAGGTTTCAGAGCAGAATTCTCACCTTTAAAAGTCTTCTTCCTAAAAAAAACCCAAACAAAACCCACCTTTCCAGCCTTCCCAAGTCGTGCTGGAAAAAGCTGCCCAAAGAAACCCTGTGGCACCAGCGTTGCTCTGCCGGCGGCACATCCCAGCAGGCTCAAAGAAGGGCACAAGAAGCCCTGGGAAATTCTCCTCCTGAACACTGAAGAGCTGCTTTTGAGGCGTTTTCCTTAAAAATGCTTACTGATAGAGCTGTGCAGCCCTGTTACTCATAAACACCCCATCTTTTTGAAGTCCTGCTAAGCTCAGGGCTTCGGTGGGATCTTGGCGTGAGTCCTTGCCAGGAAGGAACTAGAAGTAAGAAGTGCTGAGATTGTTTTTTAGCAGAAAACCAGCACGGGATGGGGCCTTTACATCAGGCAGAGACAAAGAACATTTCAAAGAGCTTAGTTGTGCTACGGAACCAAATCAAAAGGCTACAGCCAAATCGGCGTCCATTCCGGAAAAGTCCTACACCCCACCGGGCAGCGAGGTGCAGAACCG